AATTTTGATATGGTCTGGTATGGATTTCAAGGGGAACCCCACGTCAATTTTTTTTAAAAAAGTTCCCCCCATAATCCCACCCAACAGGCCAGGAAAGGAGCCAACAAGTGAGCACCCCCCTCTCCTTAACAATACCAGGTCACATGCCCTCAACATCGGGGAATGCTTTGGGGAGGGCAGCTCCGCCCCAAAGCACCTTGTTCCTATGTTGATGGGGACAAGGGTCTCTTCCCTACATCCCTGGCATGGTGGTTGTGAGGGTCTGTGAGTGAGGGACTTATTGAAATCTGTAAGCCCCATTTAACAAGGGGGCCAGCAGATCCACCCCCCCCCCCCTATACCCCATACATAATATCCCATATTCATTTACCAAAAAAGTGTCAAAAATAAATAAAAACACAAAACGTTTTTGATGTGTCCTTTATTGAAAAAAAGTAAACAAAAAAAAAACAAAGCAATGTTCTTGGAAGTAGATCTAGCATCAGTAACGATGAATGCTGGCCACCGACCCAAAAAATTAACAAACAAAAAAAGAGGTTTGCATACAATGCTGGCCTTCCAACAGGTAAACCCTCCCATTTGTTTGTTTATTTACTGACTGTGGGAACTGGAGCTCTCATTTGCTGGGAGACAAGCATTGCATGTGGTCCTTTTTTTTTTTTTTTCTTTTTCGGGTCAGTGGCCAGTGTTCATCATGATGGATGCTAAATTTACTTTGGGAAACATTTATTCACAGGGAGGTCTGGGGGCCCCATTGTTAAAGGGGGCTTCCAGATACTGATAAGCTCCCTGCCCACAGACCCCCACAACCACCAGACCAGGGTTATGGGGAAGAGGCCCTTGTCTCTGGGGGGGAGATGCAAAGGGCCTGGTAAGGAATGGGGAGACCCCCACACTGTTTTTATGTAACTGCTTGCCGTCCAGCCACTGTAGAAAAACGGCCACAAAGTGGCCACAAGGTGGCACCGCTGGGCAAAATCACATTTAAAAAAAAGGGGTTATTGCAAAACAGGTAGGGGACGCGCCCGAGGCGGCGACCACCCTACCCGTGCCGCCGAACGTTGCTGCGGGTGTCAATCACCGATTGCCAGCAAACAGTGACACAGAGCACAGCTATTTACAATGCAGCTCTGCTCCCTGTCAGCTTCTAACACGCTGATCCTGAGAGAGGAGTTTATCTCTCAGGATCAGCGTGTTCCTGTGAAGCACACTCCCCCGCCCCCAAGTAAAACACTCCCCTCACACAGTTAACCCTTTCATTGCCTAAAAAAAGTTAACCCCTTCCTCCCCAGTGCCATTAGTACAGTGTCAGTGGTTTTTTTTTTTGCACTGAGCACTGTATTGGTGTCACTGGGGATGTCAGTGACCTTAAGTCAGTCCCCCCCCCCCCCCAGTGTCAAAATGTCCGACGCAGTCCCGCAGTCCTGCCATAAGTCGCTGATCACTGTCATAAATCGCTGATCACTGCCATAAGTCGCTGATCGCCGCCATTATTAGTATAAAAAAAAATCCCAGTATCTTTCCTGCCTTTTATAGACGCTATAACTTTCACGTAAGCCAATTAATTTACACGTATTGGGAATTTTTTTAGCAGACATGTTGCAGAATACATTTTGGCTGAAATTTATGATGAAATTAAATTTTTACATTTTTTTACTGGACATGTTTTATAGCAAAAAGTCCAAAATATTGTTTTTTTTCTCAAAATTGTCAGCCTTTTTTTTTTATAGTGCAAAAAATAAAAAATGCACAGGCAATCAAATACCACCAAAGGTGGTATGTGAAAGACCAAGATGTACTAGACCGCTGTTGCTCACCAGTTCACCAAAAGGTAGCGCGGCACTAGTACTGGCACTCTACTGCATATGAGAGTCATCAAAATTTACCGCCAAGTGCTAACAGAGATCAGGCCTGATTCTGCGAACACTGCGGTTTTGTGTGCAATGTATCAAGTGACAGTGACCTACTGACACTGCACTTGCTGGGGGAGAAGGGGGGGGGGGTAAGTGTAGGGGCTAAATGCAGGTGCTGGCAGGTGTCGGGGCTGATTCCGCTAACGCTGCATTTTGGGGGATTTTTGGGGACGCTATACTAATGTGAATGCTGGTATAGTGCCGATCTGATCAAAAATATTGATCCGTTCAGACACTACACTAGCAATGGAGGTTTATTGTGTATAAGCGTCTTCCTGGCAATCAAGGGGTTAAATGTGATTACTGGTGTACTGACGGGACAATCTGATGCCATCTGGGAGGGGCGTGAAAAGCACGGGAGCGTGAATCACATATATATATGTGATTTTGCGCACCTGTGCTGCCCTGTAGCAGTATTTCTGCTATAGGGCGGTCAGGAAACAGTTACATAAGCGGTTTGTGTTACGGCGCTCTGTTACTTTGACTGACAATTGCGCGGTACTGCAACACTGCACCAAAATTAAATTTACATAATTTTTTCCCCAGGAATTGGGCTTTCTTTTGGTGGTTTTTGATCACCTGTGCATTTTTTAATTTTTGTGCTATAAAAAAAAGCTTTACAATTTTGAGAAAAAAAAACGATATTTTGGACTTTTTGCTATAAAACAGGTCCAGTAAAAAAATGTAAAAATCTAATTTCATCATAAATGTCGGCCAAAAATGTATTCTGCGACATGTCTTTGCTAAAAAAAATCCCAATACCTGTAAATTAATTGTTTTACGTGAAAGTTATAGCATTTACAAATGGCGGTATTTTTTTTTTATATAATAATAGTGGTGACCAGCGACTTATGGTGGCAATCAGCGACTTATGCCGGCGATCAGCGACTTATGGCGGGACTGCGGCAGACATTCTGACACTGGGGGGGGGGGGGAACTGACTTGGGGTCACTGAAATCCCTAGTGACACCAATACAGTGATCAGTGCAAAAAAAAAAAACACTGACACTGTACTAATGGCACTGGGGAGGAAGGGGTTAACTTCTGGAGACAATCAAAAGGTTAACTGTGTGAGTGTTTTACTAGGGGCGGGGGTGTGTACCTCTCTGCTACACACTGTCCCGGAAGGCTGTGACCAGCGATCCCGGAACAGTGTGCTGAAGCTGACAGGGAGGAAAGCTCCATTGAAAACAATGCAGCCTTCCTCTCTGTCAGTGATTGCCGGCAATCGCCGTGCTCCAGTGGGTAATCACCGGCCAGGACCCGGTGATTGACACCCGTGGCTGCGATTGGTGCCACGGGTAGGACGGTCGCACACCTCGCGCACGCCCCCTACCCCGGAATGCAGGATCACATTTATATATGTGATCCTGCACACAGGGGCCGCCTTGTAGCAGTATATTTATTGCAGGCGGTCCCCTAGTAGTTAAAGTGATACTGAAGTCTTGTCTTGTTTTTTTTTTTTTTTTTTTTTTAAATAACAAACATGTTACACTTACCTGCTCTGTGCAGTGGTTTTGCAGAGAGCAGCCTGGATCCTCCTCTTCTTGGGTACCCCACTGGGGTTGGGTGCCCCCACAGCGAGCAGCTTGCAATGGGGTACAAGAGCAGGCACGCTCCTGAGCCTCAGCTCTGCATGTCCATTCACACACAGAGCCACAGCTCAGCCCTGCACCCTCCATTTCCTGAAGCGAGGCTCTTGTGGACATCGCTGGATTGGGATGGGGCTCATGTAAGTGTTATGGGGGGCTGGGGCGCTGCTACACACAGAAGGTTTTTTAGAACAACTTTAACAACCAGCTATTCTTGTCAATGAATTTGGATTGATTCAATATTTTTTATTTGAATACGTCCACAAAGTCAAATTCATTCAAAAATGAATAAAAAAACAAAACAAATTCTGAAGATGAATCATCCACATTTACCGACTGCAATTAAATCTATTTAGTAACTTAACAAATCAGTCCGAAATGAAACAAATTATGTCATTCTGCACATATCTAATAGCAACAAATGGTAACACTCATAGTAAATAGGTTAATATAAAGTTTACAACTGACATGTGGCTCAATACCTTTATGCATCCAATAGTTTAAACTCCATACTTATAGTAGATATAATAGACATGATGCTGATCTGTAGTAGATAAAATAGAAGCTTTTTTACCTGTTATATGAAATACATTCACATTTCCATGTCTGATAAATGATCTGCATACTGAATACACACCAATTCATTCCAAGTTTTGCATTTACGGAGGGTGCGTAAGCAGCTAGCTATACCTTTGTAACTACCATCTGGAATATATAGGTCATCCAATATAATCAGGTTTAGTTTATCCACTAGAGAGATGTATAGCATAAACTGACCATACACTATATACAATCTTCTTTAGAATCATCAAAACTGTGCAATATGAGGACAAACCTAAATGATCCACTCAACTAAAATCTAATCAAAAGTTGATAGTAGACTTAAATAAGATTGTACAATCACATTGGATTATGTATGGTCAACCTTGCAGAGCATCTATGACATTCTGTTTGTATATAATCTACTACAGAGCACACAGCATGTTTTATTTTTTATTTAGTTCAGGTACTTATATAGCACCATCAATTTTACACAGCACTTTACACATATATATTGTATATTCACATCAGTCCCTAATCCTCAAGGGTATATAATCTAGGGTCCCTAACTCACATTCATACATACGCATACTAGGGCCAATTTAGACAGGAACCAATTCACCTACCAGCATTTTTTTGGAGTGTGGAAGGAAACTGGAGTACCTGGAGGAAACCCACCCAGTAACAGGGAGAACATGCAAACTCAAGGCAGGTGGTGCTGTGGTGAGGATTCGATCCAACGACCCTAGTACTGCCAGGCGGAAGTGCTAACCATTTAGCCACTGTGCTGATTATTGTTAGGTTCCTTGTACATCTTTGTGATTTATTGTTGTTCATTAGTTTATAGATCCATACACATACTATTGTAGATAGTTTTATCATTTTGCAGATTGGAATTTCTAGTCTCTCATACAAACATATCTGTGCTAACACATACTCATTCAGCATATCTTACCTATGTAGAAGTTAGTGACAGTCCTCATCTGCTTCTGTTTGGAGATAACATAGATTACCAGAGTATTCCCGGCAAGACCAATGACCATCAGAATTGCAAAGAAGAGAGGTACAAGCCAGGCATCCACTAATTTCGGTGGCTTAGGGGGGTCGCTTATCTCCTCGGAAATGTTGATACATGGGTACAGCATCAGCCCCATGCAAGAGTCGTTATAAAAGAGGGCAGAATAGTTCTCCATTCTAAGACTGGCTGAGAAATCCTGCATCCCCCCTCTCATATTATTTCACGATGGATGATGGTGTCAGGGCACTGCTGGCAGCTCACAAGAGGGATACATTCACTTTCAGTACAAAAGTCTATTACATCTGGGGTTTCTTCTTTCGCTTTCAAAGAATTCAGCTGAAGTAAGGTAGCCCAAGGCTGGTTCCCCTTTAAAAGACTAGATAAATGATAACGGTCTTTAAAATCCAGTGCTCATACCAATGAATGAAACTGATATAGCATTGGCTGGCTTCATGCAACAGACAAAAGAAGACTGAGAGATGAATATAAAAGCAACAGATGTTTTTGGATTCTCAAGTCCCATTCCCTGGTTATGTAAAAGTAAAGTAAGTAAAGACAGCAGGTGCAGTTGGGATTTAGCGCTTCCAGTCCGGAGCTGTGCGGTCAGCACCACAAACAACTGTCTGTCCCAGCCCGGAGCTGTCTGTTCAGCACCACAAACAACTGTCTGTTCCAGTTCGGAGCTGTCTGTTCAGCACCACAAACAACTGTCTGTCCCAGCCCGGAGCTGTCTGTTCAGCACCACAAACAACTGTCTGTTCCAGCTGAGCTGTCTGTTCAGCACCACAAACAACTGTCTGTTCCAGTTCGGAGCTGTCTGTTCAGCACCACAGACAACTGTTCGTTCCAGTCGGAGCTGTCTGTTCAGCACCACAAACAACTGTCTGTTCCAATTCAGAGCTGTCTGTTCAGCACCACAAACAACTGTCTGTTCCAGTTCGGAGCAGTACGTTCAGCACCACAGACAACTGTCCGTTCCAGTCCGGAGCTGTGCGTTCAGCACGACAAACAACTGTTCCAGTCCGGAGCTGTGCGTTCAGCACCACAGACAACTGTTCGTTCCAGTCCGGAGCTGTGCGGTCAGCACCACAGACAACTGTCCGATCTAGTCCGGAGCTGTGCGGTCAGCACCACAAACAACTGTCTGTCCAAGCCCGGAGCTGTCTGTTCAGCACCACAAACAACTGTCTGTCCCTGTCCGGAGCTGTCTGTTCAGCACCACAAACAACTGTCTGTCCCAGTCCGGAGCTGTTTGTTCAGCACCACAAACTGTTCCAGTCCGGAGCTGTGCGTTCAGCACCACAGACAACTATCCATTCTAGTCCGGAACTGTGCGGTCAGCACAACAGACAACTGTCCGTTGCAGTGCGGAGCTGTCCTTTCAGCACCACAGATAACTGTCAGTTCCAATGTGGAGCTGTCAGTTCAGCAGCACAAACAACTGTCCTTTCCAGCTCGGAACTGCCCTTTCAGCACCACAAAACGCGTCTTCAGCCAGAGTTGGCAGAAGGACTGAAGCAGGCACAAGAGCTTTCTAAAGACTTATGAAGGGACGTCAGCAGCTGTTGCCAATAGCGGAGTTGCTAGAGAACGTACAATATAATGACTGCACCATTACAACATATATTTCATGCACATGACTAGGATGCCTTTGATTAAATGTGTCATAAATTCAGTAGATTTTCACACATACTGGGAGATTACATCATTTTTACCATTTAAATCTTCTGATTTAAAATAATATCATGCTGTGCCTGAGGAATATGTAGTTATCAGATTGAATCTGTTCCGGATGCCCTTTCAGTACCTGTACGGACTCTCGGGAGCTGAATTTTCTGAATTAATGAGAGCAGTCTGTGAGAAATACTTTTGATATTTTACAAGCATATTTCATCAGTGATGACTGATGGTTGCTGATGGAGCTTATTAACTCTAAAACAGTGTCTAGGGTATTTGTGAATAGAATATGCCTATGTGAATAGAATACACCCAAGCATTGTCTGTGGTATTTGTGAAAAGAATACACTTAAGTGAAAGGAATATGTCCAAACAGTGTCTAGGGTATTTGTGAATAGAATACACCCGAGTGAATAGAATATTTCCAAGCAGTGTCAAGGGTATATGTGAATAGAATACACTTAAGTGAAAGGAATATGCCCAAACAGTGTCTAGGGTATTTGTGAATGGAATACACCTAAGTGAAAGGAATATGCGCTAGCAGTGTCTAGGGTATTTGTGAATAGAATACACCTGAGTGAATAGAATATGCACAAGCAGCGTCTATGGTATTTGTGAATAAAATGCACCTACGTGAATAGAATATGCCCAATCATTGAATAGGGTATTTTTGAATAGAATATACCTAAGTGAAAGGAATATGCCCCACGCAGTGTTTAGGGTATTTGTAAATAGAATATGCTTAAGTGAATTGAATATGATCAACCAGTGTCTAGATTATTTGTGAATAGAATATGCCGAATGAATATAATATGCCCAAGCACTGTCTAGAGTATTTGGGAATAGAATACACCGAAATGAATGGAATATGCCCAGGTGGTGTCTAGGGTATTTGTGAATAGAATACACTTAAGTGAAAGTAATATGCTCAAACAGTATCTAGGATATTTGTGAATAGAATATGCCTAGGGGAAGGGAATATGCCCAAGCAGTGTCTAGGGTATTTGTGAATAGAATACACTTAAGTGAAAGTAATATGCTCAAACAGTATCTAGGATATTTGTGAATAGAATATGCCTAGGGGAAGGGAATATGCCCAAAGCAGTGTCTAGGGTATTTGTGAATAGAATACACTTAAGGGAAAGTAATAGGCCCAAACAGTAGCTAGGATATTTGTGAATAGAATATGCCTAGGGGAAAGGAATATGCCCAAGCAGTGTCTAGAGTATTTGTGAAAAGAATACACTTAAATGAATGGAATATGACTAAGTAGTGTCCTAGGTACTTGTGAATAGGATATGGCTAAATGAATACTTGAACATTAATAAATAACAAAAATATATCCTCCTGCGCTTTTACGGTAAATAATACACTTAACTAAAAAGCAGCCAGCATCTATCCCACACCAAATAAGGGAGATAATAGAAACACATATAAAAAGTGATGCAGCGCTAATAAATAAAAGACTCAAAAAGATAATATACATAAAATACTGAAAATATATATATTTTAACAAACGGGGTAACAGATGACCCAAATCCACATGGGGATATAAAGAAGACAGTGACCCCTAGTATCCAAGGGTATTAAATGGTGACCAGGTGGGTATCTGCAGGAAAACCAAACAGATAACACTGGCTTAGTGCAAAATAGAGTGTCCACAGTTCATATTACTAAGACGTGCAAGTGAATCACAGCACACTCCAAACGTGATCCCAGGTAGTATGGCTGCAATGGCCTCTCACCTCCACTCTACGACCCCACAGGGCCACAAAGCAAATGTAGATCACCTCTGGATCCCTCAAACCAGTGGCTCCTCAGGTAGGATGGTATGGGCAGTCATCACATGAACAGTATTCAACCAGACCAGTGGGCAAATGGAATATACCCTCCTCAGATGTCAAAGCTCATATGCTCATAAGTTAAGAAGAGAACACAATCCTCATAGTGTATTACTGCTTTTATTGGCCGAAGTAGCAATAAGCCAAAAGAAAGGAGATATATACACTCACATAACAGCAGCCTGTATCCAGATCATTTCAGTAAGCTGGGTGTACAGCATGATCAAAAGGTGTTCCAAGATGGCGTCACACCGGAAGTACGTCACCACGCTATTACCGTCGACGCGTTGCGTCACGTAACTCGTGACTTCGTCAGGACAGCGTGATTGGCCAACAGTACTTCCTTATAAAGGCCGGGAACCGCGCCAATCAGAGATGATGGGCGGCACAATCGCGGCCATTTTTTCGTAGTTCAATATACAAAAGCATTCTCCTATTGGATCTAATACTCACAATATGGAAAAAAACCGCTTATGACTTGAAATAAGCCAGGCAACTAGTAAATACCAATACAAGGCATATTAATCGTGAGAAAACCATAAAAATAGATTTGGAAAACCACATACTTTAATAAAAATAGAATAAAATCCTAAACGCATGTCCATAGAGACATGACATGCCCTATTTGTATAAAATATAATAATAAGGAAAACAAGGGGGGAAAAAATTACCAATAAAAAAATACAAATATAAAAGTGGAATGCAAATTACAATATAATAAAAAAAATAAATAATAAATAAAAATAAAAATTAGAATAAATCACTCCCTTGTAATCATGCATGAACACTCACTTCTAATACATAACAAGATAATAAATATGAATATAGACATCATAGAAAATTATCGATCACTAATAAAACAGTTCAAATCGAACTCAATATTAAGTCCCATAGGGGCAAAAGTATCCATTAAAAAAAATATATTTAGATTCCGCCTGACTCAAAGACCTCACTTTATGGGTCCCTCTCCAGTGTTTCTGAAATTTCTCAACTCCCCAAAATATCATACTAGAGGGATCTTGATTATGAAAAAGCCGGAAATGGTTAGATAAACTATGTTTAGGAAAACCCTTCTTTATATTTTGAACGTGTTCTCTCAGCCGAACCCACAAAGGCCTTTTTGTCCGTCCCACATATTGCAGGCCACATCCACATTGGAGGACATACACTACCCCCTCCGTCCTACAAGATATGAAGTCTTTAATCTGAAAGGCTTTCCCATTGCTAGTAGCTGTAAAATGAACTCAATCTAGGGTTCAAACCCTTTGTGGCCTTACAGGCATAGCATATTTTGCACAGGAAAAACCCTTTCTGATCAAGAAAAGTGACTTTCAAACTCTTAATGGGGGGGTCTAGTACATTACGGACCAATTTAGACCTAAGGGAAGGGGCCTTCCTATATATAAATTTAGGGTAGCAATTTAGAAAGGATAGGATCAGTTTTTAAAATCGGCCAATGTCGTTTAAATAGTTTTTCTATTTGTTTATAATTACTAGTAAAGTCCAGAATAATTGCCATATGATCCTCAAAACCTTCTATTCTGGGTTTATCCTTAAGGAAATTACTTCTCGCAGTCATTCCTACTTCGGCAATCTTATTTTTTATAATTTCTCTAGAATAGCCTTTACTACAAAATCTTTCTTCCATAATACTGGCTTGCTCATAATAGTCCTTAATATCTGTACAATTCCTTCT